CCCGCTGAGACAGACCAACTTCACCATGCGAGGCCAGAGACCTCAGCCCCCTCAGGACTGTGTGTACAGAGCACACAGGCTGCCCCCACCACCTGCTGCTGCCATAAACCAGTTTCTGATAAAATGGATGCTAATGATTAACCCAAAAGCCCGCAAGTCACAGAGTAAGAAAAAGATACTCCCCGGATGGCCTTGGCAAATGATGGTTTTCCCATCTTCCAAAGACGCTTTAGGGAGATCTGCCTCCGTGACTCCATCTTGGTGTGAACAGAAAAGCATCACACTGAAGAGGGCAGTGCCTGGGTTGAAATGTTTACTAATCAACACAAACTCTGGTTCAAAACTTTCCCTGAGAGTGTCCACGTCCCACTAGCCTGTGCTTTTGAACCCCCAGGAGTATGAACAGCGCTCCACTCCCCCAGCTCTATGCATCTGGAACCAGCTCTATTGAAAGGTCGATTATCACGGACCGGGTTCTTTGCCAGGTGCTGGAGGGACAACGTCCATGGGGAAGGAAGGCAGATCAGTTAAGACCTCTAGGAGAAACAGGAGTTTTAACCGGACCAGGTGAGAACCACCACAGGACTCAAACACAGGGTTCAAAGCCCAGCGAGGAGGGAAGACCACAGCCTGGTCTGGTGACTCAAACACCAGTAAAAACAAGAACGATGACAGACAACAGAAGCAGGCCGCCGCGCAGCCAGCTGCCAGAGCAAACAGATGCGGGCTGTGACAGTGCCGACGCTGACACCGCCCGAGACAGCACTGTCGTGGACCAGCCACAGATGAAGACACTGACTACCAAGTGCTGACCGGAAACACAGGTTGGTTTTCCCCCCTTTAGTTAAAAGAATACAGTACATACAATAAACCATTCATATCTGAACAAAGCCGCGTGTCTACAGTATCGGTTACACTGTCCCCAGTGTTTTGTGAAACTGCAACATTTTGTAATTAAATGTTTGTAAGAAGTTTAAACAGTTGTGGTTGGAGGGAGGGCAGCAGGTACAATTATTTCACCCTTTGGAGGTTCGAGAGTTTGTACTCTACTCTGCAGATAAGAAGCAGCCATCGAGGGATTTTAAAGAGAAGCGACACATTAGCTTTGTTCACCATCAAGGTGGTCCAGTTGCAACAGCACAGACAGAGGCAGGCAGGGCCCGGAGGGAGGCCGAGGAGCAGCCCGGAAGAGAGGAGACAGTGAGCCGCTGCGGGCGGTGGCGCTGGGAATGCGGGGAAGTCACAAAGGTCCCAACGACAGAACATGAGTTTTCTAGGGAGTTGAGGTTTGACTCTCAAAACTGTGGAATTTTATCTCAGTCAAATCAGGACGCAAATGAGGCCACTGTGACAAAGAGAAACCTAAAATGGGAACAAGTCACCCAGCGAGGAAGCAAGGACAACATCTAAGACCGAGCCTGAGATTGAAGAAAACAAGAAAAATAGCAAATTTTTCAGTAATGCTTTAGAAGAAACACGAGCCATTCTAAAACTGAAAGCTAATAAGCACTCAGCTCCACAGATGGTAAGATGGATACATTCACAACTTGCCAGAATTCTGAAGCCTGAGCACCCCCTTCCAAACACACAGATGCTTTTATGGGGTGGGGGACCGTGTTTCTGATTCTGGTAGTGAACGCCAAGTCACATCTTGCCAGTAGAGAACGGGGTCTCCCAACCACAAGCCCACCAGGAATTTCACCAAGTTATTCTCATTTGGGGGAGATGGTCTGCGCTTGCTGTGTCCCCCAGGCCTGCCAGAGAGGACGAGGGAAATGAGAGGGGGTGACAGTTTCTGAAGAAGTCAGCCGTTTCATCGGCTCCAAGAAAGCAGATCTGTGTCTCTAGATTATTCATGAGCAGCCCACGTGTTATTCTGGGAAGGAAAATCAAGCGTATCAAACAAATTTATCCCCACATTCTGAAAAATGGCTTGAGGCACAGAGTCTGACAATTTCTTCAATTACTCTGAGCTGTTTAACCCCTTCCTGAGAAGAGAGCAACAATTCATTTTCTTTATTATTACTCTGTGTGCCTTTCAAAAGGCTAATTTTTTTTTTGCGCTAGTAAGAGTTAACATTTATTAAGCATTTATTTAATTTCCCCCTATTTTTAATTCTATTTTATTTCCCTTTTAGAATTTTTTTCACCCATTAGGCCTCCCCCACCCTTAATCCTATCCCCCACCTCCTTCCCTCTGATAACCTCCTGGAATTTATTCTTGTTCTGCCTGTTCTCCTTTGCGTCCTACATGGCACATGGAAGTAAAACCACCCATTATTTGTCTCTCTGACTTATTTTGCTTTGCATAATCCCCTTATGTTCCTTCCATTTTGCTTCAAATAGCAAAATGTCACCTTTTTTATAGCTGAATAATATTCCATTGTGTATCGATACCATATCCTCTTTATCCATCCATCTATCAGCAGGCACATAGGTTGTTTCCTCATCGTAGCTATAACACCACCACAACAAACAGTGTAGGGCATATGACTCATTCAGCTAATGGCTTCATATTCTCTGGACAGGTATCTGGACGTGCACTGCACTGCTGGGTCACGTGGGTCCTTATTTGAGGAAGTGCCTTACTGTTTTGCAAGATGGTCATACCAATTTACATTCCCACCAACAGCGCACAAGGGCTCCTTCTTCTCCACACAGCACCCCACCTGAAACACTGTCACCAGTGTTTTCGGTATCAGTCATCCTTACAGGTGTGAGATGATACCTCACTGTGGTTTCGACTCGCATTTCCCTAAAAAAAAAAATAGTGGTGATGATGAACACTTTTTCACGTGTTTTTGGCATCTGTATGTCCTCACTGGGCAAGTTGCTACTCGGATCTGCCCGTGTGTTAACTGGGTTGTGTGTCTTTGTTGTTGAGTTTCATGAATCCTTGAGTAGCTTGGATAGCAGCCCCTGATCGGAGGCGTGATGTGTACCTATTTCTCCCATTCCGGAGCTGCTCTTTCTGCTCACATTATTCTTTTGCTATGCAGAAGTTTTTGTTTTAATTTAATGTAATCCCAAGTCTTTTTTTTTTTTTTTTAATTTTCATTTCCCTTGTCTTTGGGGCTAGAACCCTCAAAGATACCTCTAACACTGATATTACAGAAGTTATCCCCTGTGTTTTAAACTTCTATGTATTTTATGGTTTTGGGTCTTATACCCTGGTCTTTCTTTTTTTCTTGTTATTAATGACATATTATTGTTTTACATCTTTGTTAATATTTTGACAACGTAAGGTTTCTCCCCTGCGGTGTGGTCATTGCAGCTCCCCCACCACCAAAGCACCCATACACCCCCACCACAGTACTGTGCTCTCCCTGCCTTCTGATCCCCCCACCCCCCAGCCCCATCTCCTGTCCCTTGCTGGACGTCTCAGATCTACGGTCAGTTTTCAAGGGTTGGTTTTACAGTTTGCCTTTGTTTGACCTTTGTTTGGTTTCTCTACATTTCACACAAAAGTTACACTGTGTTGAACTTATAAACTACATATTTTTAATTTATTTCTATATATGGAGTGAGAGAGTAAGGACCAGTTTTATTTTTCTGTATGTGGCTGTTTGACTTGCCAACACCGTGTGTCACAGGGATTTTCCTGTCTCCACTGCATTGCCACGGTTCCTTTGCCGCAGAGTAAGTAACAACGTGAGCGTTTATTTCTCGGTTCTCAATTCTGATCAACTGATCATGTGTCTATTTTCATTCTGACACCACACTGTTCCAATGACAGTCACTTTGGCATGTAGTTTGAAGTCAGATAATATGATGCCTCCATCTTTAATATTTTTGGTTCGAGTACTTGGGGTCTTTTGTGATTCTGTATAAGTTTTAGTGGCTTTTGTTGCTGTGATTGTGTTTCATTAAAAAATATCATTGGAATTTTAAGAGGGATTGCATTGAATCTGTCTATTGTTTTTGGCATATTCATCCTCTTGACCACATTAATTCTCCTCATCCCTGAACATGGAATATATTTCCAATTGTTTGTCTCTTGTTCTGTCACATCTAACAGTGTTTACAGTTTCCGTAGTATATAGGTCTTTCATTTCCTTTGTTAAATTTAATCCTTGACATTGAATTCTTTTTGAGGCGATTGTGAACAGGACTGTCTTCTTAATTTCTTTTTCTTCTAGTTCATTGTTTGCACATAGAAATGCAAAAGGCTTAAAAATTAAGCATATTAAGTTCCCAGTCTAGTCAGTTTTGGTATAAATATACATTCTTGGATCTGACTTATGAATGTCTACTTCGCGCTGGAGATAGGAATTTTACATCATATTTTTCTCCCAATCTGTTCTCACAACAAAAAATATTCAGAGATGCTCTTTTAAAGGAAGTACTTTCCACATACACGCCCATGTAGTGTCACAATTTCTGTACATTCTGCTAAGAGAGCTTGATCTTAGAGATGGAGTAGTACTCTAGCTGCCTTCACAACAGGTTCAACGTAGACCATTTTAAGTGGGGTGTCTTAGAGTCCCAAGGCAGGAAGGGCAATGAATGCACAGTGCAGAGTTCTGGAAATAATCACTAAATGACTCAATTTCCGACACAGCGTTCACCCAGAAAGTATCCTTTCTCATCTTTTCCAAATATAATGCTCCCAAAGAAAAATTTCAACCAGCTGAAACCTAGGCAACGACTAACACACTAAAACACTGCCTTGCTAGCCATTAGTCTTATGGGTTATTAATCATACATTACTGAACTTCGTACAATTATTTATACATCTCACTCTGATGGCGTTTTTGAGGCTGAATAGCATTTCTAGAGTCACAGGAAGATCCCCTCACATAATATCACGATCCCAGGCCAGCAGCACACACAATGCTCACAGACATATGACCCAAAGCATTAATAAAGGCAGAAATAATAGGCGTACTTAATACCCGCCGGAGAAATCCCAAGATGAATTTCTGAACGGCTAAGTCCACCCGGAAGCCCGGGAAGCCCGCCCACACCCAGAGGAGGGCGCCACCTCGCAGGACACTTACGGGGTTCAGCGTGTCTTCCACAGAGTGGTGCACCGTCCACCAGTCGGAAGTCCACTCCCAGGCGTTGCCCACGATGTTGTACAAGCCGTACCCGTTGGGGGGAAAGGCGTCCACCTGACATGAGAAACGGGGAGATGCCGTCACACACCCGCCGTGTTCAGAGAGCCTCTAAGCAGAGGGGAGCCCGCCACGGCCGCCGCAGGGATGCTGCTCCCTTTCTGCTCATCCACCTACAGCAGCCAGTGCCAGACAGGGACGAGCACAGCTGGCTTTAACTCTCGAGGGGTGTTCAGACACCTCAAAAGGAGTTCCTGGTGCAGAACCCGGAAAAATGGTTCCTAGGGGGCTGATGTGGTGGGGCAGGGGCCAGCTGATCTTTAGGCCTTCCAAAGCCTAACAGCAGCACAGCAGACCCCGTAGTCTCACCGTGCTGACCCTGCCTGCCACTCAGTCATCCAGCGCCGAGAGACCCCACGCCAGCCCTGTCCACCTGACAAACCCTTCCACTCACCCCCTCATGGTTGTGCCTCAAAACCCTTAAGGGACGTGTCTGTGAAGGGACCAGGTGAAGGTACCATCAGGCCTGTGGAATAGAGGGTGTGCGGCCTCTGGGGCCTAGAAGTACCATGGAACAGAGGGCGTGCAGTCTCTGAGGTCTAGAAATATGAGGCAACCTGTCCAGGTTTTTCATAAGCAATTATATCACCTTTCAAAGCAGGTGAGACAGTTGCCACCGGTCACTGTTACAGACAGGGACCCAAGGTATGAAGCGATTATGAACAGCGAGGAGCGGAGGGGGGCGAGAGAAATAGCTGGAACCAAACAGTAAATGCAAAACAGTCCAGCTCTTTAATGACTTCCAATTTTCCCAACATTTTTTAATGGAAATTCTGAAACATAAAGACAAACTTCTTGAAAGAAAAGAAAATCATCCTTGGGCTTTTTAAATCTTTTTACAAACCCCTTGCTCAGTTGTTGGCACGGGCCCGAGGGTGGTGGGCAGGGCAGGAGGGGGCAGCAGCGGTGTCCTTCACCCACTGCCTATCTCCACGGCCCCTGGGCTCGCCGGGTGGCCCGGGCGAAGCCTGGTACTCACAGGCGCAGTGCCTGGGAAGCCGTCCTCGCCAGTGTTGGTCACAGGAAACTCGCCCTGCCAGATGTTGGCGTAGTGCCGGCCGCCAGGCTGCAGCTTGTTGCCCCAGGGGAAGAGCCTGTCAGGGGAGAAGCATCAGGGGGTGCAGGCTCCAGGCCAAGAGTCCCAGGAGCCGCAGGGAAGCCCACAGAGTCTGCCCTTCTGGAGGGAGCTGCCTTTCTTTTAGCTTCTGCAAAACCAGCTCATGTCAAGGTGACAAACAGCTGGGTCCCTCCTGAGCCGGCAGGGCCTGAGATAAATGGCTTAACCAGAAGCGGCCGGGGGCGGGCTGGGCGCAGACGCCAGACCGGACTTCCAACAGCACCATAAAAGCCTTCACTATTTCAAGGAGCCTTTCCCAGATGTGGCCCAGGCCTGGGTCTTCCGTCTCTTGGCTCCAAAAGCAGAGCAATGACTCAGGAAACAGAATATGCTGGAAGCGAGACAGGCTGCAGGGGGCTCGAAGGAGGACTATGTAACATGGGAGCTTCATTCTGGGGTGCTGTGGGACAGCAGGGAGCCCCTTTGGCCAGATATGTGGCTCTGGGGGCGCTGGGTGAGCTGGGGACCCCTCAAGTGAGGCTGAGCAGGGCCCTGGCAGAGTGAGTTTACGTCCACTCTAACCAAGGGAGTACATGGGTTTAGGGCAAGGCGAGCGTGGCCTTGGGCACGATGGCCCCCCTCCCCCAGTACCTGTTCTGTAGGCCTCCCCGACAGCTGTACTCCCACTCGGCTTCTGTGGGCAACCGCTTGCCGGCCCAGGCACAGTAGGCCACGGCGTCGTTCCAGGAGACATGGAGAACCGGATGGTCAGGCCTGCGGGGTGGAGGGCGAGCAGGGGAGAGGGTCATGGAGAGGAAGCAGCACCGGCCTCCACCAAGCACCGCCATGTCCTGCCACCCCAGGTTCCCCGATGGGTTATAACCACTCTTGGAACTAGATGCAAAACATTTCCTCACTTGTGGGTGTGCCAGGACCCCCCGGGGCCTCACTGGGTACAGCGGAGGTGGAGCTGCACCCCCTCCATCCTCCCTTTAAGGAAGGAGAGCAGCCAGTGAGGCTAGTGTTCAGCGGCTCCCCGCTGCCAGCTCCTTGGAGCTCTCCACAGAGGAGCCCGCTGGGACCCCACCAACTGCGCACAGCGGCACCACCCCCGGCTAGGACATGCTGGGCCTGCGCTGCCATCCAGGCGCCCCCACAGCTCAGCCCCACCTCCTCCCCCCGTTCGGCAGCTGCCCTTCCCTCACCCAACCGTCTCTCGGCTGTTCCCAGAACACACAGCCTGGGGCTCTCGCTACTGCAGAGGAGCCAACGCCCCCCCCCCCAGGGAGTCCAGGTCAATCCCCGCTTCTTCTGAGACATGGGGGCAGGAGAGGCCAAGGGGGGTCTGAGAATAAGGGCCACGAGGCCCACCAGCACCTGAGAGCATGGATATCCCCGACGCTTTTCAGTGGACGCTCCCAGGCCAGCCCCCCTCTGCCAGGTCTCCAGGGGAAGGCCGTGCACCATTCCCCCTCGCTGCCCGTTACGGGAGCCTACTGTGCCCGTGTTCCTCACCGACGAGGGATGGGCATGCCTCAGCAGGAGGGACTCAGGGGATGAAACGCGGCCCCTCTGGGTTCCCCTTCCTTCCTCAGCTTTTTCCTCTGTTTTCTTCTACGAAGGAGACAGTAACTGGGAGCTGGTCAACCGGAGGCCCCAAGAACCTAGTAACTTTGGACGGCGCCAGCCAGCTCCCCCAAAGGTCTGCCAAGTCTCACTTTCAAAGTCTCCCGACATCTGTCCAGGGGCTGAAGCCTGAACGCCAGCCTCCCTGCTCCCTGACAACGAGGCCAGGAACAGGTAATGGTGTCGGGAACAGGCTCTGTCCGCAGATCTAGGTCAGGAGAGCGGGCGGCCTGGGGGTGCAGGCTCTGAGTGCTGACCCAGGCCCTCTGTCCCCGGGGCTCGCACGCGCTATTTCTGCAGGAGATAATTGTATCCTGGCCCTGGGGATGCGCTGACCGCCTTGCCGCTCGGTGGGCTTTCCGGCCATGTGGCTGCAAAGTGTGTCAGCCCAGGCCTGGAGGGGACTCGGGTCCAGGCCTGCAGCCGGCGCCTCCACGGCCACTGGGCAGGACACGCCGCTCACTCCCTAGTGCTCCTCCTCGCTGAGAACCACACGCGCGCCCGGGCCGGACCGCAGACCAAGCCCGGCTTGAGCCCCATCAGAGGCCTGAGCGGGGAGGGGGAACCTGCAGGGGGTAACGCCCGGCTGGTGGAGACAGGCCCGGTGCCCTGTGCCTTCCGCGAGTCGGCCCAGTGTCTGGCTCTTCACCTGCCTCATTTTCTGCAGTTTTATTTCCTCCAAAATCAATTCAGGTTCATGGTTCTCCCCATTTCACAGCGAAGATGGCCCCTGAGCTCCCTTTCAGCAGCGCAGAGTCTAGCCGGAAGGAGCCCTGTCGGCCAGGACAGTCCGGCAGCCTCACCTGTGCAGAACAGTCGAGTCAGGTCCTTCGGGGTGTCTCCAGCTGGCGCCCTTGACAGGTAACCACCAGGGAGCAGCTGCCACCTCAAGGCAACCCAGAACAAGCTGAGGTTAGTGACGGCGAGTCCTGGGAAAGAGCCGGGGCGCGCAGCAGGCCCTCACTCCCAGTCTGCGGCCCCCACATGAGTGACCTCGAGAGCTATGACCGGGACCTCAAGATAAAGGTGCAGGTGGAAATAAACCTTTAACCAAAGAGCTCCAGGGTGACGAGGTAAACACGTGGTTCTATGGCACGCATCACCAAGCACTCCAAAAGACGCACAGCCCCACGCTCTATGTTGAGCCAGCGAGGGGTGACCCTACTTCACAGGTGGGGAACCCAGGGACTCCAGGCATGAAGCGTGGCTGAAGGTGACCCCAGGGTCACAGGCCAAGCGGAGGCATGGCAGAGAGGCCGGGTGTGTTTTCTAGAGACACAGGTTCCAACGCCGGCCCCGCATGACCCGCGGGGCCCTGCAGCACCTTCAGCTGTGAGACGGGAGCAGCCCACCTGGCCGTCTCGCGACAGAGCGGGTGGGGCAGCCAGGACCCTAATTCCTACTCGATGGGCCTCTGCACCCAAATAGCAAGTGGCCCCCGCGGAGTGAGGCGACCGCCAGGAGGGCGCAGAGCACGTACTCTGCCGAGGACATGCAGGGCAGCCGCTGAATCACAGGCCGCGCTGCTGCGGAGACGGCCGAGGGAAGAGGCGTGTGGATGTGTCTTCTCACACACGGCGAGCGGCCGGGCCGCCACCTCCTCATCCTCCCACAGCCAAACCTCCCGAGGGGCCTGGAGCGAAGGACGTTGGCAGGGGTTGGGGAGAAGCCGTACAAGCAAGACGCGCGAGCTGTCGTACCCGTGGACCGCGTGGAATTACTTCCTACTGCAAGAAAGCAGGCGCCGTGGCCTGAGGGACCCTGCCGCAGGGTGACTTGGCTTCCAGAGGCCACAGAGGTGAAGGTTTCTGTCTCTGTCCACTGTGGCCCTGAAGATCCCCTAACCCAGGGTCTGGCTGCTTGGGTTGAGGGGCCAGTGACAGTGGTTCTGTCTGTGTCTTGGGGAACAAGCAGAGCGCCCAGGGGGCCCCACTCTTGGCTATGGAGAATTTGGGCTACTCACCCAACCTGTCCCAGCCCCAACGCTGAGGAGGGGGTCTCTGCCACTGTCCTCATCCCTCGTTACTGCTGCAACTCCCTCACAGGGGCCAAAGAACGTGTGTCTCCCAGTCATGAAAATTTGCCCCTCAGAGTCCACCACGAGCTCCAGCCACCTGCCAGTTCACCCTCTTCCGAAGGTTCAGAGCTGTTAGAACGTGCCCTGCTGCACCAGGGACAGCACGGAAGAAGCCCACCCCTGCCAGGCTCCAAGTAGGACAGGCCCACAGGCGTGACTGTGAGTGACGCCCTAAGGAGTCCCTCCTCACAGAGCAGGTCCAGAGCCACCTCCCCGACACCCAGACAGAAGGACCAGGAAGTGAGAGCCAGCAGCTGGGAGAGCCCAGCAGGCCCCCCACCCACGGCCGGCTGCCACCCTCCCTTTCCAAATGTCACATGTCATCACCCCACAATTGTAGAAGTGTGTTCTTGAACTCCTGGAGGTGTCGTGACAGTGAACACTGCTCTTCTAGTTTAGGAACTTAGGGAGCACACGCCTCTCGAGAGCCAGGGCAGGCCAGTGGTATCGCATGGTCCTGCACAGGGCAGGTCCCCCTCAGCTTCCCACCCCCCTCTCTCCCTGGCCCAAGGCGGCCAGTACAGCGGCATCTGCAACACCCTCGGCCGGAACAGGGGGACCAGCATGGGCTGTGGCTGCACCGACGTGTTCTCTGTTCCAGGAGACTCTTCCAGAGTTGCAGCACCCCCTATATCTGGAGGAAAAGGACTTTAACTTGACCTATTTCCAGTCGACCATCTCCATGGCAACTGTCTTGGGTCTAAGTTGAAACAGCTGTAGCAGACAGCCAGCGGCGCGCAATTACAATGTAAATAGGATCTGTGTGAGATGGACGGAGAGCCCTTGAGAAGTGGACTCCGGGCAAAGGCATCTTTTCCCTCGTTGTCCCCGGATATCACCAGGCTTGTAGTAGCAGCTTATAGACAAGCAAAAAGGAGACAGAGCAAAAGAGCAAAAGAGCCTTCATCTACGCCAGAGGCGCTAAATCATGTTTCTGATATGCACACAGCCCAGAATAAAGTCCACACAGGAAAAGGATAATTATGTATATTCAAGTGCAAAGATGTCAAGTTCTGCAACTTCACAACTGCTCTCTTATAAATTAAATGCATTTAGAAAAGCAAATTAAAAAGATGGGCGTTTCTGGAAACATCGCATAAACATGACAATTACCCCTATAAAAACACCCCAAGGGAATTTTCCAACTGGCACTGGTGAACAATGAGAAACTGCAGATCTGTTCTAATTCACCAAGTATAAATAAAACTGGGGGAAAGCTAGCAACTGGGAGCATGAAATGGAAAGGGAAACACATAGTAAAAAGTTCTTTCTCCGGCACCCAACACGAAGGTGGGAAACTAGAACTAGACCTGAAGAGAGAGTGAAAGTAAATTTATCATGAAAACAGACAGGTAGTCGACTCTGACAGTTTATTTTGAATTGAACTCTGTATCAGGTATCTTGACTGCTTAATAGAATTCATGAGAGAGAGAAAAATGCATGTTTTTTCAAATAGAGCAGAAACATTTATCAAACTTCAAGAAGACCTGAAATTTTTAAGACTTTTTGCTTCAGTTCTTAGTGCAATCCCTGAGGCCAGCACAGCCTGCGTTCTCAAGGCAAACAGCTTGCTCCTCACTCCTCGCCCCTGAGAGGTGAGGCAGGCCGGCTGCAGCAGGGCCCTTCACCAGACAGGGCAGGAAAAAATGACATGAAAAACATCTCTGCGCTCAACAACCCCTGAAAAGTCATCTATTTTACTCCTCCCTGGTGGAGACATGCATAAATATGGGGAAAGTTTATTTTGGGCTTTAAAAATAATAATAAAAACAAGAAAAAAGGGGGCCTCCCTGGTGGCACAAGGGGTTTAGATGCAACCTGTGAAGCTGTCCACAGCCACTCAGCATGAGTTCAATCCCCAGCCAGGGAGCTACCCACATGGCACAGCAGACCTCTCCTGGCTAACCCGCTGCTCCCCTCAGCAGTGTATTTTGGTCAATCAGCCTGTTCTGTTCTCCACTCTGTCTCTGGTGAATCCTCTCACCCTCCCGCACACACCTCTGGCCTGTACCCCAGCTCTTGTATGCATGAATAAATAAATCTTTAAAAAACAAACAAGAAAAAAGGGTTTCTCATAGTCTAAAAGTAATTTACCTTTTTGGGCAAAATGGTGATTGTGCAAATTGATATAATCTATCCAGAAAGCAATCTGACAACTTAGCAAAAGACTACACCTGGTCCACCAGCAAGGGGCGGGTGGGGTGGGCCTCACCCATGTCCATGAGAAGGGACACAGCTGTCATTAAAAATTACATGCAAAACAATCTGATTGTTTGGGTAAGTGTTCACCCTCTACTAGAAGAGGTGAAGACAGTTACAAGTATGTTTATACATAACCATTTAAAAGTGCACGCACACACACACACACACACACACTCTGCAAAGAAAATACTAGTAGCACATATACTGGAATGTCGGCCACAGTCACTTCTGGGTGGTGAGATGGTGGGTAATGTTTAATGTTCTTTCTTATGCCATTTTTAAAGTCTAAATTACAATCTACAGTGTAGACAGTATTTTCATAGATTTTCACAGATTCCTGTTAAGAGACTGCACTTTGCGTTGAGAAAACCCAAGTCAGCAACATTAAACACACGTTCGTTAAAAATTAGTTGCCACTGGACTAATTCTTGCGTCTTCCAGTGTCACCTACGAGTACACGTCGGCACAGTTAGTCCAAATTGTATACCTGTGCTGATTTCAGCTCGGCATGTTCCTGCGTGGGATCTGCACTCACAACAGTCACTTTCAGAAACTACACACCTGGTGACATTGCTGGGTCATAACCCACCGTCTCCTCACTCTGAGCCCTGGGGGCGACGCTAGCCCCTGTCGCCTTCACTGCTACTCGAGGACACTCCAGTGACACCTTTAAGTGTCTTCACTTACATGTTTTGCTTCTGCTAAGTATCCAGGAGGCAGCCCTGTGCCTAAGAGTGTGCTTAGTGTACTGTGCTTGCTAAAATGATGATTTTAAAATGTCAACAGTGAATGTTTTTAAGTCCGAAACCCTAGGAGATGGTGTGGCCAGTTTCTCTCTGAAAAAAAGAGCACTGACGACCCAGAGACCACAGCATCCAAGGCGCAGAAAGGAAAGGGCACAGGTCTGAGAACAGGTGTACACAGGCGTAGTAACACTGTCTCGTTAGGGGAAGAGAAAAGCAGAGTTGAGGTGAGGAAAACAGAAAAAACATAGGCATGAAAATGAAGGGAAGAAATGGAATAAAAAGACAACAAAAAGTAAAATGATGGAATTAAAAATGAATATACCAGTAATCACAATATAAAGGAAACAAACTCTGAGCTGAAAAACAAAGACTGTCAAATGGACTGTTTTTAAATGTATGTTTATAAGTGATCTACAAAAATACATAAAGATACAGGTTGAAAATGAAAAGATGAAAAAATACATTTTAGATGAATATTAACCAGAAGAAAGTTGGTACATGCTTGTGGATACCAGACAAAATCAACTTGAAGATAAAAATCCTTGGCAGCCTCTGCAGCACAAGTTCGATCCCCGGCCAGCCAAGTAGCTGCCCACAAGGCGCAGCAGACCTCTCCTGACTCGCCCGCTGCTCCCCTCAGCAGTGTACTTCGGTCTGTCTGCCCGTTCTGTTCCCCACTCTGTCTCTGGTGAATCCTCTCAGCCCCCACACCTCTGGCCTGTACCCCAGCTCTTGTATGCATAAATAAATAAATCTTTTTTTAAAAATCCTTGGGATTAGAGTAAAAGAATTCTCAACCATGATTAATTGTTCAGTTTAACAGGAAAACACACGCAGTTATATTTCTAAGCTCAATAGCTT